GTTTTTACTGTTTTATCATATTTTTTTATGACCAAGGATGTGGTATTAGGTACCTAACAAGATCGATTCTTACATAATGAACTCGAATTTAATTATTGTTCAAATTACGATGTACGATTAAGTGCTGAACAGCCTGTGAAATATGTATAATATAGTTTTGTTTTAAATAATCAATTTTTCTTAAACCTCATCATTAAATATTCTTTTGTTGTATAATAATATATTTAAAAAAATCTGTATAATAGACCTTTATCGGCCTTTATAGGCCTTATCGGTACATCAATTAAAAATATGACTTGAGGCATATTAAATGCACCATTTACAAGTTATTGTTATAATTATCATTATTTGGTATTTACTTACAAATAACAATAATACATACAATGTAATAGTGTAATAGTATATATTCAGTACACGCTGGTAATTTATTAGTATATTATAGCCTCCTAAAGGCCCAATGTCCAACATAACGGACAATTTATTATTTTTACTGCATTAGTACTTTAGTTAATTTTTATTTTTGTTACAGACCCAATGTCCATTACAGTGAATGTTGTTTATTATACCCCCGAAAAAAGTTCACATAGGGATTACTATCGAATATAAATATTTAGTCCAATAATATAATGGATATCGGGTCAACAACATCATAAAAGTAAAATTTAACAAAGACACTAAATATAGTTAGAATATAGATAATAATTGTCCATTGAAATGGACATTGAGCTCGTCAAACTATACCTACGTACTAGTGTACTACGTATTATTAAAAAATTGCTTTGGTCTCGAGAAGTCAATGTTAGAATATTTTACTACATTATAATTTACAAATTACTAGCTGATCCTTAACGGGGGAAAATGAAATAATCTCAGTAGATTTACCATCATAAGCTCTGATAAATGTAAGCTTCATAAATTTTTAACACAATAATTTGAGTGATGTATTGACTAAATATAAAATACAGGTCTAAAATGATATCTATGTCAACTATTACTTTATTAATAGTAACTATTAGCAGTCTTCTATAAACAAAACAATACTTGTATTTTATGAGCCAATAAATGCGTGAGCCTCTCTTTAAAATTAAAAATTAAAAAATTAGTTCTGAGATACACATTCTCGTGTATAAAATTATCTATGTACCAAATTTCAGAACCATAAGTACGATAGACTAGGCTATGGATTACTTATTCACACATAAACATTACATTAATGTATATTATGTAGATAACAATATTATATTGTATGTATTAAGAATTTAAATGTGTTTCGTACCAATACGATAAAGTTTAGTTACTATATCTAATAAGTAACAACAATTTACCGTATTGTATGACAAGCTGGTAGATTCTGCAATAATTGATTTTATGCCACAGAATAACAACATGTGAATAAATTATTTAAAAATAAGTTCTTACAAATACTGTCGAAAGTGTTTGGTATAAATAAATTTTTGTTATTATTTTTTTTTTTTTTTTTTGTCCTCTATAGACTCAAAGTTACTGGATCGTTTTAAATAGAAGTTATATCAATAGATTTTTTGAAATTCTGAAAGTGTTAATAACTTATTTTTTTTAACTCCTAGACTGCTTATATGTGATTTTAATTTTGGTACACGAAAATCGAATCATTTTTGCTTACATAAATGGTTACCACTTGCTATAAAATAAATTACTATTATAATTAGTTAGAAATATGCCATATAAAATGCTTAACAAATATATTCAAAAAAAAAAAAAAAGTAAAAAATAAATAAAAATGAAATACTTACGAATACTGCAATTACAATGATTATTTTTATAATATGCTTTCAGAAATTATCTACAGATAAATTATTGCACACCCGTCTCATCGTTCGAAATTCTTGCGCCGGCTACGTTTAGATATTAATAGGCATGTAATACGATCATTTAAATGCCCACGTTTCGGGTCTATGATACGGCAGAAGACGACAAAATCGGCATCCTTTCGATTTGTTACCGTATTTGTCAACTACGTATTCTATTATCTAATTGCTTAGCATTGTTGAACAAATCCAATACAACTATAGCTTGTTTATTGTATTACATTCACTAGAGCTCAAAAAAGCACTTACAATTAATAATTATACGATGTGTATACGTATAATATACAGCTAAGGGTTTAGGGCTTACATAACCTTCGTCGATTATAATCCAAATATATTTTATTATATACAATATACATATTTAGTACCTGCACCCGCTTTAACAATGACTAATTAGTTCATATTATGCAGCTCGAATCAGTAAAATAAAGAAAGAGAACATTATAGATTTAAAAAAAATTATCGTCTTCTAAAATGATTGAATTCGATCTATCTTACGAGAGAAAATTCCCCATAGAACACAGACCAAACTCCCCAACTATCTAATATCCTCGAACAATCAATTATGATAATAAAATATGTCAGTAATGATAACAAATTAAGAGCCATTAATATAAACATATATGAACAATAAAGATTTATTTACACTAATAATTTTAATTTATTTTTAAATTATATTTTAATACAGTATCGTAATTTAAAATAATAATAAGTTTTATAATATTCATCAGTTTTAATTTGAATAGGATATTCAATACAATTTTACAGAATAAAATGTATAAGAAATGTGTGTGAACCATTGTTTTAAAAAGTAGCACTTCCAGTTTTTATAAAAATAATTAATAGGGATGAAACTTTCAAAATAGTAGAGAACTTTTTTCCTCCCGAAAGCCTGCCTTCTATGAATTCTAACACTGATTTTGTATAAGTAATACATTAAGAATTAAGGCCTTCAAATATTTTTACTCAAGAACCATATAAAAAATTAAACCTCTTTGCGAGACTAAACATGATATTATGTAAAATAGATAAATACATTTACAGTTTTAATTAAGTTTCATAAAAATGTAATTAATATAATTTATTATAAATGGGTGCAAGTTTTTAAGGATTATTACGTATTACTATTTGATGTAAGTAGTTTATTTTTTTTAAACTTTAACTAATGATATATATATATACTATATAGTAATGTTTAATAATGAATGTGGAACTACAATGATATATACCTTGTACTTATGTATAGCAATGTGCTCTCTAATAATTTTTCATAAATCAATTTTAACCTTATGATATTATAAGGAAAAAGTATTTAAGTTATGAAAAGATTATAACATTTGAGGCAACTCGTTTACATTGAAAACCAAACATGGATGACGATTTCGAATTGAAACCAATTTTAAAAAATGCATTTACCACATCAATGTAATTAAATTTTCAAATAAATATTAAGTCGATTTTCAAACGTAATTGTTCGAAATCTATATGATTTATTGATGAAAACCTCGTATTTCGTTAAAATAATAATAAAATTTAAAAACTATTTTGTTTAGTCTATGTGACGTCACGATGAGCTGTTTTCTTTTGAAACTGTTCATAGATTAATTTCGTCCAATTATTATATTATTATATGTGTACATTAAACAGTGCCTAATTATACAGTATTATAGTATATACACGCGTATCTATTGCATGCAATCAAGAGTAAAATGATTGTTTAAAAGGTCATATTATTGTTTAATAATAAGTGATTGTACTTACCTGTTTGGTCGATGAGTCAATACTCATTAATAATTCGTATTCGATAATATTATAATAATTGTTATCTATTTGTATTTAATAGACGAATGACGACAGAAGAATCGTAATAATAATATTAATATGTGTGTACCAATAATAATAATAATCTATGATGAGCCAGATGTGATTGTTATCGGGTACGGTTTTTAAGCATTTTTTTTTCAATCTAATTTTATTGTAACAAGTATATTATAGTTACAATGATTAAGTTACTAATGACCATTAGTAAATACAAAAAAAAAAAAATGTTCAAACAATAATTACCGCACACTCAGTCTGTTATACAATCGGTAAGACCATAGAAAAATAATATGCAACGAGTAGAGTGGTAGGTAGGACGCCGGGCATACCAATTACCAAACGGCAAACGACACCGTGTTTACTTTACATTGATATTGTTATTATTTGATATATAATTTGAGTACATTTCGATGCCTATCCACTCATTGTCCAGGCGTTTTGGCCTTCGTAAAGTTCCCGTGTGATTGATCATTCCACACATAATAATATTTAGAGTAATATTTTTATACATCGTTAGTAAAACATTGATAAATCACTATAAATGATAACAATGTATTACGCATTCGATGTGCCGAGTTTATCTGTACGCATACAATATAATATGCGTATATATAATATACAATATGGTTTACAATAACGAATACGAATTAGGATTTCATATTAGGAAGGGACTTCAACAGAAATAATAATAATTATTAGACGCAAATGTAATCTTATCTTTTCTTCTTTATTAAAGTAATAAAATAATTTAAAAAACCAGAGGACATAATTATAATAAACATAAAAATTATAATAATCATAATAATAATAATAATAATAAATAAATATTAATAATAATATTATTAAACAACAGTAGTATGTTTTTTTAATTATGTCTAATAGTGTGTTTTGAAAAAATAATAAATAAAAACGTTGATCTAATCAGCATATTTAAATGACGATGAGATAAACATTACAATTATACTAATGTTAGTTGTAATAAAAATTAAATAGTTAAGTAGCCTGGCTCAAAAAAAAAATAATTTAACTTATTATTATAAACTTACAATCTAAAGTTTAAGGCGTGAAAAAAATTAAAATATAAAAATACTGTGATTTAAAGTCTAAAGGATGAAACCTCTTACACGGGTTAAATGATGTTAAATCTAATGCCCTTAAATTTGTACGAAAAAATAGTAATATTGTAAAATATATTAATATAATAAATTATTGTGTAAGAATAAATGATTTTAAATACAACCATATAGGTTCGATATTAATTACTTATGATTTTTCATTTTTAAATATATTATGTAAGTACCTAAATAAAAATAAATTATGAAAAAAGCTTTAAAAGTATAAAAAATATTTCTTCTCCTCAACTCTTAAAACTAATTACAAAAATTTAAAAAAAAATTGATACTTGGGAACATTAGATTTGGTATAGTAGGAATATTTTTAGTAAAAATTTACTGTTCAGTGGCGACGAAGCAACGCCAGTGATGTGGTGTTGACCGCGGCTTCGCTGCATATCCCTCATCCAAATCTCAGATGGTTGTCGGTATGATTTCCGTAGTAGTCACAGGTCTGACCTTGCAGCGGTACACGTACGCGTTCACGGACAGATCGTCGTCGGTCTTCAAGCACGCCAAAGACGAGTTGCAAATGCATCTGTAATGAATTAAAATAAAAGCACAGTTAAAACGACTGTTATATTTTATAGTTTGTAGTTTGAAGCGGTAGAATGGACTCACGTGTTTTTCATGAAATAATCGATACGGCGGGTGAACGGAATGTAAATGGCCCATCCACATGGAGTATTTTGATGGCACTCTTTGGTTGGAGCTGTAGTACTCTCAATGGCTAAGGACGCTATTGCTCTCTGAAAAAACAACAATAGATACATTAGATAAAAATTCTATAATAAGTTTAATAAACACATTATAATATTGACTTGGAGATAAACCGAGAGGTAAAAAAAAAATACAGCAATAATGGCATAAAATAATTTAAGTACTATTTAAATTATAGTTAATATTTTACGAACGACTTACTTCTTTGCGTAAGGAAGCAGCTCCAGCGTTAGACAACAAGCAGAAGCACAACATCATGAAGAAAGTCGAGGCGAGCATCGCATTTATGTTGTACTTGGAAGCATTGCGACGGCGGCTGGTGGCGGCCGTGTCCATTTTCGAGCCTTCTTGTCCTGGTGCTAGAGTTCTATCATTTTTACGCATGGTGGTTTCGAAGGATTCCAAAGTCATGTTGAATATAATGCAAACGAAATATTAAAACGAGACGAGGATAATTTTTCGAAAAAAAATCGAATTCTATATGAGCAAGCGGAAAGCCGGAAAAAAGTTCCAAGAGACGAGGAGACTTCGGATGACGAGCAGATATAAGACCGTACAAGAACGAACAGACAACGTGCGTGTAACTCGAGGGTTCGGTGTGCGTAGACTGTTTCAAATTGAGGCGGGCAAATGCGTTTTATAGCGTAGGGTCGGCTCAGTGGGGGACCCGCCGTTCAATGGAAAGATCCGCCGCCGTTGTCCGATCTAATATCTATATACAAGTGTAGTACAGCCGCCGCCGCCACCACCACCACCACCACCGCCACCACCACTACTGCAACCACCACCACCACGTCAACCAATAGTCGCCGCCGCCTCAGATAATGTACAATATACAAATATTATACATAGGTATTATAATATATTATAATAATAGGTACGTCGTACGAGCACATTTCAAATCGTTCCTCTAATTATATTATGATTATTATTTTTTTTTTCAACTGCCGATGATTCATTATAGAAATTCCAGAACAACTTTCATTCGTCTGATATTATTATGATTATAGATAATAATATTATGTAAAGAACGTCGAACGCGACCAGTCGTTTTAGGTCTAGGTCTCTGTATTATATACATAATATTATAATAATTCACTGCTGCAGACGTCCGAACATCCATCACGCGCGCGCGGGTTTTTTTTTTTTTTTTATGTCCACGTGAATTATTATTTTCCTGCACGTTTTTCATTGCCAAATGTTCTTTAACATTTAACATTATTTTTTTTTTACACCATACATTATAATATTATATCATAGATTTTTCCGGTCGAACGCTTTACGCATACATTATTATAATATAATATTACATATTGTCGATGACAAACGAGTTGGCGCGTTGTGTATCTAACTCGTACATCGAGTATATACCTGAATCACGGTAGTAGTATATAGTGACAGCTTATATATTTATAATATAGTTTAATAGATACATGTACATAGAATTGGTAGTTGTCGATCGTCACATAATTATTAGTACAGTGAACGATATTCGGGTATAATATATAGGAATTCCAACGAAATCCTGACGCGAAGAAGTGCATACGAGTTACAACTAATATTATAATACTGTGTATATTATATACAGAAAATACAAAATATGCCCAAACGCCGATTTATCGACCGTATTATAGGTATGTATGTATATATTATTGTGAATACGGAACATAAGTGATTGTGTATATTATACATAATTGCAGTACCGTACCGATTTAGTAATTTATAAACTATAATAATCTAGCCGAATGCGGCTGTAACATACTTATATAGTTGCATACTTGAATTTATCCAGTTTTAAATAAGTTGTAAATAACATTTTAATGAGTATTTTGTATGTCTATAATATGAGACACTGAGACACACACACACACACACATTATATATATATATATATATGATATATATGATATATATATATATATATATATACATAAAAGATAATCTTTCAAATAGTTTTAATTTATTAAATTATGGTCATTTTGTATAGCTGTCTTATATTATATCAAGGTAGATAACAATATGATATGATAGGTACCTATACATAAAATATTATATCACTTTATAGTCAATGTAATGTAAAATATACAATGATTCATAAAATAATTTTTTATCGATGTGTGACAAACTATAGAAGTCACATTGTATAAAATACAATTTCAAATTCAAAAAATATTTCGTTTAAAACTGATATCATATTTTTTAATTATAATTTATAAATATTATAGGTATATTATATTGGTATTATAATTATGCTATCGATTAACTTAATATAAATTGGTAGGTAAATCAAGTATTAAAACATGATACCTACTGTAAACTATTTAATTATCTAACATATTAATAAGCGAAATAGATATATCTATTTTTTACAGTAGTAGGTAATTATATGTATATCATTATAATAATGAATTAATATTAATTAAATGATATTTTAGTATCTTTGTTAGACATAATCTCTTAAAATTATTATAATTATTTTTAATAGAAATATAATCTATGCATATAACATTTTTATGGTAAAAATGTTAAAACTAACTATATAGATATGATTCACGAAAAAGGAAAAATCTATCCATTTACGAAACTCCATTAATTGTTTTCTTTATTATCGCCTTTTTCCGTTACATATTTTGAGATGACTATTTAAAGTTAAGGAAACAATCAGCTGAGATTTTCAGTTGTCTTGAAAACCATTTCTGAATATTTTATGCAGACTATAGCTGCATTATTATGCTTAATACATGTAAGATAGTGTAATTATGTATCATTTAGTTGGAGTATCGGAAACATATTACATCGAAAATTTTTGAGAATAATTATTTGTATTTTATTAGTATATATTTCATATAATAATATATGATAGTTTCATATTGAATCATTAGTATGTATACAATACTTTTCGTTATAGACTATGCCATACATAACAATTTATTTAATTGTAAATTATGACACTAGATAACTTTAACATAGTACCTACATAATATTATTTTTGTTCTAAAAATGTATTACGTTTTTATAATTTTGCATACGATTTTTTATTAATAGCTGTCTTCTACACTAGTGCATTTGAGCTACTTAATAACTTCTAATCCATTAAAAAAAAAAAATTGTAAATATAAGTAGATAATTGACAATTTTTCAAAAATAATTATTAATTATAGTGTCTGCATGAGTATATAATATTAATAGATGTCTTTTTATTTAACTTAATTTCAATAATTTAGTTAAATCAAAAATCGTTGTATTGATAAAATAATTTCTGTACTTTTTAACTAATATCGACGAATGACACTTAATTTAACATTATGTGAGTAAAAGTAACATAATATAACAATTGTTATAAAAACGAGTTCTTCGGCATATTATTGCAGTATAAGGTTAAATAATTTATATCTTTAAGGACATCGTAAAAGGTTAATAGGAAATTTGTTATCGAGTAGAAGGCAGAAAAATTTTAAAGAAAACGAGTACAAAAATATATACATTTATTATAAATTTCCAATCGTAATATTTTTATTGGTAAATAATTTAAAAAATACTAACTTAACTAAATGTGTGTTAGTATTTCACAATATAAATATTTATAAAATCAAAATAGTTGTTTTAAAATTTAATTTTTTTCTTACTTTTTACGCGTGTTAGAAATATTACACTTTACGCTTATTAATCATTCAAAATCGTTTTATACTATTTATTTCTAAATTTCAATTAAACAGTTTATTTTATTTATTTATTATTATTTTTTTTTTTTAACGCTTCTGAATTCATTTAACTATACGTCTTTCTAATCTGTACGATGTTAGATATTTAAATACTCTTGTTATGTCAATGTACGCCTATATAATATTATTTTAAATTATTTCCTTATTATTATTAACGGTACCACAGTAACATCAGTTATTTATTAATAATAATGTGTACCATGCAATTAAAATTGAATGAACACAAAATTAACTAAAATATAGAAAAATTAAAAACCAAATGATAATAATAATATATCGTTACTACTTGCATATTATTATTTATATCTATAAAACCCGTGCCAAAACGTTCGGAGGACGTACTACCCGTTACGGAAAGTAATCGACAACATTTTTCTCACTAGAAAGAGCTCTAACAAATCGACTCGATTTAATATTTAAAAAAACATATACATTTTTTTTACTTCATATATTATTGATTTATGATGTTTGAATACATTATTGTTAATCAACATACTTTAGCACTCATGATGTATAGATATAGATATTTTCTAAACAAAAATAATCCTTATTTAATATTTCAATTAACATTGTATTTATTTTTGAAATTTATCATACATTAAATCATTAACTAAACAAATATATTATACATATTTACACGTTTATGCATTATAATATAATATTAAATTTATAATAATAAATGAATATAGATTAATAAAATATAAAATTATTTCGATATAAAATAACTAGAGACGCTATAGAATATTTATAAATAAATTGTTAATATTCTTTATTTCAGTGATTATTTGGGTGGGTATATAATATTATGTAGTTGCCTAAGTAGTAACTGTTGATGAATTTTTTATTTTATTTTATTTTTCACACTTTACTGCGGAAATAAAGTATATATTAAAACATTAAAGATAGATATGCGTATAGATTTTTCATAAGTCAATATTAGATGTGCGTGATTTTCTTGCAATATATAGTTTTTCTCTACTGGGAAAAAATTTAATTTTTTTGTATACCTACCTACAAGGTTTCAATGAATAATAAATAATTATTTTTAAATGTCCCGGATGCCGAAAATATTAATTGTTTCATAAATCAAAATGAATATATACTGTTGTATTCGTAGTAGCTATACGATTTAGATATATATCGGTATGTGCCTATATAAAATATACATACATATATAATGCATATTATGACTAACACGTGCGTTTCATCATGTCGTTTCACGTGTAAAACAAACTTGAAACCGGTAATATTATGTATATTATGTAGGTCTCGGCTGCGTCTCATTTACATTATCTTTTTTTCCACGTACAAAAAATAATTAATTAATAGCCATAGGTAAATACATGAAGTATAATATATACTAGTTTAATGAAATCTATATGATTATTGATTATACTACAGGTGACCATCATATTATCATAATATTATATATATATATATATATAACTTATTACATAGATTTTTGCCGCTACATCACAATGTTACGATTTTAAACAAACTTGTGGAAACACCGAACTAACAGAATTTTCAAGAGAGTTGGATTATCAGATTTAAAAAATTAACTAGACTCAGCCATCCTAGGATATGAAAAAGTTAAAGTATGACAAGAAATCTAAAGCAAAAATGGACAGAAAATAAACAGTTTTTACAAAATATTTGTATGCTAAAATTATATACCTACTAAAAATAAGTAGTGATGTTATACTTATGTATAATAATAATTAATAACTGTATAATTTTTAATAACAATGTCTGGAAATACTTATTTTAAATAATAAATATTTGTTTAAGTTTTAGGTACAATATAATAATAATAATGTCCAATAATTTTATTCTTCGACTTTTATTGGATTTTTCAGACTTTTTACTATTCAAGATCATACACAGTAGCTTTATGTATTAT